CTCAGTGGTAAATTTCTGTGATAGGTTTTGGTGTCTGAACATTCTAGGGTCATTATAAGGATGAAAAAACTCAGTGGAGTCATGTATCACTGTCCAATGGAGACAGGCTCTGAGAAATGCATCATTAGGTGATTTCATCTTTGCAAACATCATAGATTATACTATGCAAACTTGGATGGCGTAAGCTACTGCACACCTACGCTATATATATATATATATATAGAGAGAGAGAGAGAGAGAGAGAGAGAGCCACAATGAACCAAACAATATGAAACTGAGTCAATCACAAGAGAAAATGGTGTCTTCAAGAAACTCAGTTAACAAGAGGCTCCTGCTTCCAGCTTAACATGCGCACTGTTTTTCAGTAAACATGTTTTAGGAAATAGGCATATACTCCACAATAACAATAAAAAACACAATATAGTAAATATATAAATCAGTAACACAATCTTGTATTGTCTCCATCAAATATTATGTACGATACATGCGTATATGCCTACATTCTTGGATGATAGTGCACAATAGGTTTGTTTATCCCCATGTTTCTATAATCACGAGTTATACATTGTGACATTGTGAGGTTACGAGCAACAGAAATTGCCCTGCTCTGTTAAAATCTTATGGTTCCACTGTTGTGCGTGTGGTCTGTTACTGACTTAAATGTTGTTAGGTAGCATGTAACTATGTATACAAAGCACCACATGGTGTCTATTAGGCAGCAAGTGCCCAGCAAATGGGGCCTATGTAACCAGACTCAAATTTCCCAAGACCCCAGTGATGGACATTTCACAAAAAACACCTGGGATCTTTTCTTTTAACAGAAGGAAGACTGTATTTTGACTAATGTTCTGGAGGGAGAATACATAGTGTTATAGGAGTCGTGGTGACAAGTGGCTAGAGCAGGAAATTGAGACATCACATCATCAACCATGCATAGAAGTAGATAAAGGACTGGAATTGGGGTGAAGCCATGAACTCTCTATGCATCCCTTAGTGAAGTACTTCCTCCGGTGGGGTCCACCTCCTGAAGGTTTCATGATGTCCCCAAATAGCGCCACCAACCAGTGATCAAGTATTTAAATACCTGAGTCAGTGGGGAATGTTTCTTTTCCAAACCACTGCCTCAGCCTCCTTTGTTGCATCCTGGGACCTTTTGAGTCCTGCATTCAAAAATGAAAGGATGGACTGAAGAGATGACTCAGTGGTTAAGAGCATTGGCTGCTCTTGCAGAAGACTTGGGTTCGATTCCCAGCACCCACATAGTAGCTAACAACTGTCCTCTGCAGGCATTGCTTGAAACCAGTGCACTTACATACATGTAGGCAATACACTTGTACACATAAAATAAAAATAATAAATAAAATATTTTTTAAAAACCAAAATCAAAAATAAAAGGGTGAGATTCCTAAGAGCACATGTTAACACATGGGCACAGCTGCTCTTCTGTTCTCTCTCTCCCTCCCTCTCTCTCTCTCTCTCTCTCTCTCTCTCTCTCTCCCCTACAGGGCACAGCTGCTCTTCTGTTCTCTCTCTCTCTCTCTTTCTCTCTCTCTCTCTCTCTCTCTCTGCCTCTCTCTCTCAGAAGGCAACCCAATTGTTTGTAAAAACAGAAGATTTGAACAGATGACACTTTCCAAAAGGAGATATGAGAATGGCCATTAAGGACACAGAAAGATGTTCAGTATCACTAGTCATCAGAAAAAAAGGCAAACTCATACAATAATAAGGTCATTTCACTCATAAAAATTGATTGACAATCTCAAGTGTTGGCAAAGATGGTACCAACTGGGACTCTCATTTTTTTCTGGTAAAAATGAAAAACAGGTATAGCCAACTTTGTGTAACAATATAGCAGTGTCTTGTAAATTAAACATATAAGTGTCATATGAATGGTTAATTTTAAGCCCCTGTATTTTCCCAAGAGAAACAAATGCCTATGCCTATGTAAAGACATACACATGGATACTTAGAGAAATATTATTTAGATTTGTTGTTGTTCTTAAAAACATATTTATTAATATGTATGTGGAGGTGCACACCATAGCGTGTGTGTGGAAGGCAGAGGACAACTCCTGAGAGTTGGCTCTCCACCTCCACCATGTAGATTCTTGGAATCAAACTCAGGTCATCAGGCTTGGCAGAAAGAGCCTTTACCTGCTAAACTGTCTCACCAGCCCCAATTCTTAATACTTTCAAACTAGGGACAACCCAAAGGCTGTGGCACATCCATACAATGGTGTACTAGAAGGCAGAAAATGTACCTGCTAATACGTACAACACAGATGATTCTCAAAAACTTTACATTAAGTGAGGATCAAATACTCCCCTATGAGTCCGTTTATGTGAAATTCTAGCAAATGCAGCCCTAAGTGGCTGTGGTTGAGGGAAACCAAAACAAGAAGAAGGGGAAAGACCCTAGAACAAAGCAGTGAAACTGTCTCTCTTGATTTAGTTGTCACACAATTACTAGAAATCACACTTAAAATGGATGAATTTCATGGAATGCAAATCATGCCTTTGAAAAACCCCAGAGTCTGAGTTTTCAAGTGTCATTCAACCTGTTGTTCCAGGACCTTGACATTAGCAGACCCCATTACTGGAAACAAGGTCATCCCAGGCTCTTGGCTTCCTCTTGCCTCAGAGCTGCAGATCCAGCTGACATTGACCGATTTCCAGTGCATACCACAGCGCGTCCCAGGCAGAAGCCGGTGGAAACAAGCTTGTGTTCCTGTCACTAATGATAAGAGCCTCCATCAGATTCTCTGCCAGGCCATGGTCGTCATCATTACACCCATTGAAGATGAGAACAGAGCAATAATGAGCTGGGTGTTATCAGCTCACAAATAATTTATAATGGGCAAACTAGGACAAGAGCAGAGCTTTTTATGGCTAAGGAGGTTGCCTGTCACTCTTTAAAATCTAGGCTAAAAATGATTTATAATCCATAGGCAGCCACTCAGAAAATGAAAAGGTTCTTCTCTCGCATGAGTTTGAATGCTGTGTCTTTTACCCTGAGCTAGCAATGAGGCGCCTCCACATCTCATCACGCCTGCCGCCAGCCTGTGATGTGAGCGACTACACAGGAATATAGTGGCATAGCTAGGAATGAAGCTTTTGTAGGAATCACTTAGTCCAAAGCCCAAGAACAAGCAAGAAGGAGGCAGAAGTCAGAAGAAGGAAAAGACCCTTAGGGAATATTGGTGACCATGCACTTGAGATGAACTTTGAGAACTGTAATATGACCAGGAAATAGCCCGACCTAAGATAGAATCAGTGTAGCTGAACTGTAAATATGTGTTGAAGTTATGTGTATATCGTAAATAGAGGCAAACAGTGGTCACAAGCATGGTAGCATCTGGAGAAAGGATATCTGGAATGTATTTTTATGTTTTCATGGGCCATTTGGGGAAACAAGGTCTTTATTGATACTGATACCTATCAATATTGGTACCTCTCCCAAGAGAGGTGGTACTGCCCACCAGCATCTTCTGTACTGACTACACATTGACCAACCACTTCATGGGGAGGAATTAACTCCTCCAGGATCTATAACCCCAGATCCTAGGGTACTTGGACCAACAAGGGCATCATGTATGGTGGCTAATCCTCAGTGGCTCCTGTTCCCTCTCAGTGAGCTGGCTTTCTGTGATAGGTCCATCTTGGGTATACTTGGGGCAACTTTCTCAATCACAGATCACCTTGGAGTAAGTTGATTATTGACAAGGTGCTTCGGTATCGTTGAGGACCAAGACTCTCCAGCAGTGCTGCTTCTTGGGTTTCCTTGGGGATGGGCTCCCTCTATGACACGTTCCTTATTCCATTCATTAGAGCAATGCCGGAGCTCAGACTCCTCCTTTTAATTCCTACAAAATCTGGAGTTCTTCCAAGGAGCATTGGGCGCTTGGGAAAGGTTCCCTTCCTCAAACTGAGTAGCTTTGCTTTCATCTCTTTTACAGATACACAGTGTAGGGTGGCCTTTTGAGAATAGCCTTCGTCTTGTAAAGCAATTTGAAAATCACAGGAAAAACTGAGTGGAAAGTACAGAGATTTCCCATACAGCCTGCCCCACATACACATAGCTGCTGTCTCTGTGGACACCCCCACCTGAGTGGTCCCCTTGTTACAGTTGGCAAGACTTGTTGACACAGTTTGCATTAAGATTCCTTCTTGGCGCTGCACATCCTGTGGGTTTGGACATGTGCCTGCCACAGCAGCATCAGAAACAGCAGTTCCACCAGCCTTGAGATCCTCTGTGCTCTGCCCGTGCATCCCTCACTGTAACCCATATTCAGCCACGCTCATTTTACCGTCTCTATAGTTTCACTTTTTCCAGAATCACACCATATGTGGCTTTTGCTCACTGGTTCCTTTGATTTAGTAATATGCATTCGTGTTTCTACCACGTCATGTTGAATAATGCTCAAGTTTCCACTGCTCATAGCAATTTGACAGGACAGCAGGGCCTGTCATACATCATCCCGAGACTGCACGGCTCACAGACTGCACCAAGACAGCCTTGTCTTTTCAATGGGATGGTGGTTCTTGGGGCAAGGGCCAGGACATATGCCTGGTTGACACATTCAGGATACCGGGCCATGCCTCATGACTGGGCTAGATGCATGGACTGGAGGAGATAGGATGGAGCCCTGGCAGGGGTTCTAAGAGTAAATCAAGGTGAACAGCATGCCATTTGCTCTCTGGAACATAAAGCTCTATGAAGGTGGAGAGACAGTGTCTGGCAGTGGAGTTACACTGTGTAAGGTTTGCATGTGAGTCAGAGCTTGCTTATTATTAATGCTGTCTCTCTTTGAGGCCAAAAGTCTAGCAAAACATTTCTTCACCATTACTCAGCTCTGCAAAGTGGCTAACATTACCCCCCTGAAAGGCTTTTTGATCAGGTGATCTCAGTAGAACATGCTCTAAGAGACTACATCTTGTTTCATAACACAGCTCTTACGAAGTGAGATGTTCTAGTAACCTACACGCGTGTGTCTTTCCAGAGCTTCTCGAAACAAGTCTGAGAAGAAGCGTCGGGACCAGTTCAATGTTCTCATCAAAGAGCTTAGCTCCATGCTCCCAGGCAACACTCGGAAAATGGACAAGACCACTGTGCTGGAAAAGGTCATCGGGTTCTTACAGAAACACAATGGTAAAGGTTGCGCCTCTCTCTCCATCTCTGATCCCCCCTGCCTGTCCCATAGGTGATGAGTTCATCAGGCAGGGTGTCCTGGTTCCCCTCATCACTCATGCACTGTCCTTTAGAGGCTGCATACCTTCCGAAATGGCCCCATGTCCAAGAGGTTGGGGAGAAGAGAGTCATATCCCAAATTGCTTTATCAGCCTGAAGGGAGACCTGAGAGCAGCCTCGCAGACGGCCCCAGTCCGAACCACCATGTGTTTGTTTTTATTATAAACCCCTGACGCACCCAGGGACCTGCCCCTTTCTGTCTAGTTCTGCTTCCCCAAAACATGACATCTGTTCTGACTCCCAGTACCACAGGTTGTTTGTACCCCTTGGGACCTTAGTTGGACAGAACTGTGTGTTATGCTTTTGCAGTTCATTCGTGTTCTTCCAGTGCCTGCCTGGTTCATTTCCATTGGCAGATGCTATTCTACCACATGAGGGTACCACTGGAAGTCATTTTTGAACTTGTGTCTTTCTCAGACCATCTTCTCTCAAATGCTCTTACCTCTTAGTGCTGATGAAACCTACCCTACCATTCACTTTGAATAATTAAGTCAGAGAATATTAAAAGGATTCAGGAGCTAGTCACAAGCCAGAAGAGCAGAATTCTTTCTGACTTAACTGTGACACCAAATATAATAAAATCAGAAAAGTCAGAGTCATTGAGGACATAATTACAGTCCTGGGCCTAGTCTGATGCTTCTTTCTCCTGAATTGTTCTTAGACAAGATGAGTTCTCAGCACAAGGCACTTTCTGGAACATGGGAAAGTTTCATTAAATGTGTTATTCTTCTGTTATGTCTATGAAAATTGCATGTACCTTGTCACAGCCTGACAGAGACATGCTGCCCTTTAGATGTCTAGAAAAGAGGAAGGAACATGTTAATTGCTTTTGTTAAAAACCAAGGACAACCACACAAACTGAATTGCAATAGCCATCACCCCAATAATTTAATCAGAGTACTTCTAATTCTAAGTAATGATTTAGCCAAGTGAAATAGCAGGTTGATTTGATTGCCAAGATATTTTGTACAAATTACTCAAACTAGGTCAGTACTAGAGAGAAGCAGGACAGCTGTTAAATAGGACAGCTGGGATCAAGGTCATCATGTGACATTTTTGCTAGTCTCTGTCCACTGTGGAGTTACCAAATTCTCTCATCTGGACTCTGGAAAGGCCAGATCAGCATAAATACAGTTTCCTAACTCCAGAACGCCTCTCTGGCCTCGCCTTTCTCACGAGATGAAGGTCTGTCTACATGACCTGCCTGAATGCAGTCAGGATCCCTGCAGTATTCCCCAGACAGAATAAAAAGGGGGTCCACAACAGGTTTCATGCAGAAATAGAGTTCTCACTCTGAAGTTTTATTTAAAGCTAAAAACAAATACAGTCACTTTACATGTCTCCCAAATGCACATGAACTCCACAGGGACAGGACACAGAGTGAAACAGTGATACTTCACATCAATTCAGGGCTCCCTGTGAGCGATGCTGTCCTTCACCCCTCTAAGTTTCACAGCAGCACTCTGAATAAGTTTCAGTGCATAAGAGAAACAACTGAGGCACAAGAGATTACCTCACTCAGCAGAGTAGGACAGCCAGGAACATTCGGACTCTAAATCCAGCAGCCTGTCTGCAGAGCCTTGTTTGGTTTGGGTTTGGGTTTTGGCTTTGATTTGGTTTGGGTTGGGTGTTTGTTTCTTTGTTTGTTTGTTTCTTTGTTTGTTTTAAGACAGGGTCTCCCTGTAGCTACAGCTGACCTCGAACTCACTATATAGACCACGCCGGCCTCTATCTCCCAGACATCCTCCTGCCTTTGCCTCCCAAGTGATGGGGTTTAAAGGTGTGCACCACCACGCCCAGTTTAGAACCCCGTTTTTAATACCACCTTCTACCACTTCTGTACCAAGAGGGACACATGTATCTCCTGGAGAGATTTATGTCATAGCTACACTCTAAGCTGTGCATTAGTGTATCTGTTTAGGCCATTGCTTCTCAATCTTAGCTGCCCATTAGAATCACCCAAGGAACTTTAAAAAAATGCATTTAACCCAGTAACACCCCATGGATCGATACATCAGGATCTGGATCCCCAGCAATGTGCCTGTTTATGCCAACTAAATCGGGGAGTGCTATTTGGCAGGGGGAGAGGTGGTAATGCATATTCATGCACATATACATGTGTGTGGGCTACAGATGCATGTATTTTGCATATATGTGGAGGCCAGAGGACAACCTCAGGTCTTATTCCTCAGATGTTCACCATTTTTTTTATTTGAGTCCGGGTTTCTCACTGGCCTGGAACTTGCCAAGTAAACCACTTTCTTTGGCCAGCAAGCCACAGGAATCTGACTGTACCTATCTCCCTCGGATTAGGTCACAAGCACATGTCACCACACATGCCTTTTTTTTTTTTTTTTTTTTTTTTTTTTTTTTTTTTTTTTACGTGAATTCTGACATAGAACTAAGGTCTTTGTGCTTGCAAGGCAAGAAATTCACCAACTGTGCTAGCTTCCCCCCACCCCATTACTAGTTTTTCAGGAATTTTGTTGTTGTTTTGCAAACTGATTGACTCACATGGGTAATTTGAAATCAGCCATTGTATTTACATGAAAATGAGCAAATACTCCAGACTGAGAGGCCTTTTGTTTTGGGTGTAGATAGCCTTTCTGCCGGTAGACTACTAAGGCCTGACATCAGTATTCATTTTTAAATATTTTATTTATTATTTTTATTTTATGTGTATGAGTGTATTGCCTGCATGTATGTTAAGTGCACCCTTGTCATGCAATGCCCAAGGAGGTCCGAAGAAGAAGTCAGATTCCCCTGGAACTGGAGATAGGGATGGTTGTTAGCTGCCATGTGAGTGCTGGGAACCAGACCTGGGTGGGTCCTATGCAAGAGCAGCCAGTGTTCTTAACTGCTGAGCTATCTCTTCAGCCCTGACATCAGCATTTTTAGAGCTCCCAGGTTATTCCCATGTACAGGCAGAACACACATGTTCTGCCTGCTGGCCGAAAGCACACAGGATAAGAAAAAATTATTAAGTTCAAATTGAGATATGATTATTTAGTTCTTTCCTCAGAAATCATCCATGTAGCCCTATTTTCTCAGCTTGGGAGGTAAATCTTGATTCTAGAATATGTATGCATTCTCTTTGAAGAATCCAAATCAAAATAGGACTCTGACCGTGGTTCTTTGTGGTGAGCTTTTGTGCCAACAGTGGCTCTTATAAGACAGAAGCCTCTAAATTCTATCAGTGACACAGGACAATGAACGTCTTCCACTCTGCCATCTAAGCACTAGTCAGGCTCAGACTGGCCTACATGTTATTCTCCTCCTGTATATGAAGCCAGTGAAGTGTAATTTTTCCCCAACATCAAGTTCCATTCCTCCTGTGAGCCTCTTTACTACGGCTGTCTTTGTGGATGGAAGTGGGTGAGTGGTACACCTTGGAAGTCATTTGAAGGCGGAGGGTAGAAAATAAATATTCTAATTAACCACCAATCATACCCCCCCAAAATTCTACTCCATTAAAACTGGTAATTGTACAACACTCACCACCCATGGGCTGCTGGCACTCCTGAACAAACAGTGTATGCTTAGGCTATATGCAGTCAAAGAAAAGTGGAAAACGTGGAGGAAAAGCTGCTTCTAGGTATGTAACTGCACATGTCTACTTGTTCTACAGCATGCATTTTGGCATATCTCTTTGTTTCTCCTGCCTTCCACCTATAGCTCATGATATCAGTCCCATCATATGCCAACAGATTTTTGTTATATAGTCTTCACCTATACACATGCACTCACATTTATATGTGTATTTCTCAGTAAGCTTATTAAATACTACATTTCCCTTTGGTTTTTCACACCACTTAAGCATTATTTATCTCTCACCTTTATAGCCCTCTCTCCTCCCTCTCCATTTAAAGTAACCTCCATTTTTCCCATCCCCCCATGATATTGTCTGTCTCCTAGCCCCCTCTCTAGACCTCTATCCCTTCTCTCACCATTGTTCCTTTCCATTTTCCTGGCTCCTGTGATTATAGCAGGATATATATTCAAATCTAAAGGTTTGGACTAGAATCTACAAATGAAAGAGAACATGTGTCACTTGTTTATCTGAGTCTGGGCTACCTCATGCTGTACAGGACTGTCCTACAGACAGATGCCATCTCCCTAAGGTCAGCTGTGCCCACTTGCTTAAGATCATCATAGCTGGGCTTGGCTGTTCAGACCTCCTCCCCCTTGCATGGAAGGAGGGACAGGGAGACTCAGAGACCCTCACCTAAGAGTTCAGCCACACCTCCCAACCCCCAATTAAAGATTCTGCTCTACTTGTAAGTGGCCTGGGTGATGGGCTAGAATATATAAGCTGGGGAAGGCTAGAGGAGGCTCTCATCAATTTGCATGGCTATGAGGAAGCCACCAACCATGCTCAGTGAAGAGTGTGCGGTGTGGCCTCAGGGGGAGAGCACCCACACTCCTGTAAGTAAACCCTCACATACTGCTCTGTAAGTAAGCCCAATAAACTCATTGGTTTCCCCAGAGTGCACTTTGGTGAAAGTGTGCCTCAAGGGAGGAAGGGGTGAGCATTGTTTACATTCCTCCCCCAGAGAAGGAATTTTAGCAACACCTCACTTAGTATAACAGTTTCTACTTCCATCCATTTACCTGCAAATTTCGTGATTTCCTTTTTCTTTACTGCTGCATAGTAAGTAACATACACATTTATACACTCCAGTATGTAAATGTACCACATTTTCATTATCCATTCATCCACTGAGGAACATTTAAGTTGTTTCCATTTCCTAGATATTATGAAAACAGCAGCAATAAATATAGTTGGGCAAGTATCTCTATAGTAGGATAGGGAGTCCTTTGGGTATATGCTGAGGAGTGGTACAGCTGGATTGCAAGCTGCACCAGTTTGCAGTCCCACCAGCAGTATAAATGAGGGTTCCCCTTTCCCCAGATCTCACCAGGAATTGTTGTCATTTGTTTTCTTGATCTTAGCCATTCCAACCCTGGTAAGATGAAATCTTAAAGTAGTGTAATTTCTATTTTCCTAATTACTAAGGATGTTGAAGACTTTTTAAGATGTTTCTTAATCTTTTTGTTTCTTCTTTTGAGACCTCTGTTCCGATCTGTAGCCAATTTTTCAATCAAGTCATATGTTTTCTTGATTCTTTGTTTTAGTTCTTTGTATGCCCTGGAAATTATTCTTCTATCAGATGTATAGCTGACAAATATTCTCTCCCACTCTATGGGTTCCTTGTCACTTGGTTGTTTCCTTTGCTGTACAGAAGCTTTTTAGTTGAATGAGGTCCCATTTATCAATTGTTGGCCTCAATTCCTGAGTGACTGAGGTCCTATTTAGAAAGTCCTTTTCTGCACCTGTATTTTCTTTAACAGTTCCAGTGTTTCAGGTTTCACACTGAGGTCTTTGATCCATTTAGCGTTGGGTTTTGTGTAGGGTCTAATTCCATTCTTCTACATGTGGAGATCCAATTTTCCCAGTGCCATTTGTTGAAGATGCTGTCTTTCTTTTAGTGTGTGTTCTTGCCACCTTTGTCAAATATCAGGTGGCTGTAATTGCATGTACTCATGTTTGGGTCTTCTATTTTGTTCCATTGATCTACATGTATGTTTTTGCATTAACACCATGTTGTTTTTATTACTATGGCTCTGTAATATAGTTTTAAATCCAGTATGGTAATCTCTCCAGCATTGCTCTTTTTTCTCAGGATTGCTTTGGATATCTGGGGTCTTTTGTGGTTCCATATGCATTTTAGGGTGACTTTTTCTATTTCTGTGAAAAACGTCTTTGGGATTGTGATTGAGATTGCATTGAATCTGTAAATTACTTTGGGTAGGATGGTCATTTATACAATATTAATTTTACCAATCCATGAGCAAGCACAGGAGGTCTTTCCATCATCTAGTGTCTTCCTCAATCTCTAACTTCAAAGTTTGGAAGTTTTCATTGTAGAGATCTTTAATGTCTTTGGTTAGGTTTAGATTCCTAGATTGAGGTGTCCAGCCCTAAGTGACACATCTATAATGCAACCTCTACACCCAAAGCTCAGGGAACATCAAGGAAGAGGGGGCAGAAAGAATAGAAGAGTCAGAGGGACAAGACACATGTTGCTATTTAATGAATTCTAGATGTGATAGGGAAGCTACATCAATGATATCTCCTCAATGTGGTAGTCTAACAGGACCTTCATAATGACAAACACCAGTTGACATGCCCAGGCAGGTAGGGGAATATCACAGGGTCCCACTTCAAGATGAAGAACTACAGGCAATCAATGGATGTTGAGGGAGTTAGAATCAGTTATTTTTCTGGGGACTAGATCCTCATAGATTATCAGCACTAAACACAGGTACAGATGAGCACCACTAACTGAATTCAGTGTATTATATATGTATGTATATATGTCTATTTATAAATGTATGCATGTGTATGTAGCAATAATAATCAAAGAGAACAAGAAATTAAGAGGGAGTGGGGGAATATGGGAGGAATTGAAGGTTGACTGGGGTGATAGAAAGAATGCCAAGATAATACTCAAGTGTGAAATTCTCAAAAAAAATTTTTGAAAAAAGGAAAAACTGCCAGTGGAGGGAGAACTTTGATTTTCCTTCATGATTAAGTTGAATGGGCCTCTATCCAAATGAAATTTGAGCTCCCCAGAAGAACCCTATCTAGACAAACAATCTACAGTTTGATCCTCCTGGTTAGAAGAGTTTTTCAGCTGAGTGTATGTACTAAGGAAAAAAGAGGGTATTTATGGGGTCCATCCCTTTTCTGACGGTGTATTAGTCACTTTTCTGTTGCTATGATAGAAACACCATGACCTGACCAAGGGAATTTATAAAAGGAAGAGTTTATTTAGCTTACGATTCCATATAAACCATGGTGGGGAGGCATGGCAACAGAGGTGGCTGGAGTAGGAGCAGAACCTAAAGTCACATCTTCAAAGGGGCACAGGAAGTAGAGAGTGACTCAAGATCTGGCAAGGCTTAGGAACTCACTAAGTCCGCCCCCAGTGACATACTTCCTCCAGCAAGGCCACACCTTCTAAGACCTCCCAAACCAGTGCTATCAAATGGAGACAAAATATCCAAATACTTGGAGCCTATGGGGGACATTCTCATTCAAACTACCACAGAGGGGTCAGACTATAGCAATCATTTGTGTGATGAACTGGGAGTTCTACCCTCATTCTCTTGCATCAGTCCATGATGAGCTCTGGCTTAGGTTATATAGAGCACCCTCCTTCTGCTTTCCATGATGCATTTCACCACGTGTATCTTGGTGCCCAGCATCATGAGGCAGTCCCACACACTGGCCCTCATCAGGTCTGTGGACTGCCTCACTGCCCATGTGGTTTTTTCTGGGTTCTTTCCTGTGTTAATTGCCAAAGACTCCCAGCAGCTCTCTGTATTCCTTTAAAATCACAAAGGACAAGAAGTCCAATTTTGTCTAACAACAGCAACAATTTTTTCTTTCAGACACTTGGAAGCAAGGCAACTTCCCCGTAGAGCTTGGTGTTTGTCCTAGTTTGTCTCTCCACTGCTGTAACAAAATACTCTGACCAATACCAACTTGGGGAGGAAAGGGTTTATTCAGCTTACATCTCCCAGGTCACAGTTTATCAAGGAGTCCAAGGTAGGAACTCAGGGCAGGAACCTGGAGGCAGAAGCTGGAGCACAGGCCATTGAGGAACACTGCTTACTGGCTTGCTCTGCTAGCCCAAGCTCAGTCTGCTTTCTTATACAACATAGGCCTACCTGCCCAGGGATGGTACCACCCACAGTGGGCCGGGCCCTCCCACATCACTCAACAATCAAGAAGATGCCACAGGTCAGTCCTATGGAGACAATTCCCCAGTTGAGGCTCCCTCAACCCAGGTGTGTCAAGTTGACACTAAAGCTATCCAGCACAGTATGGATAGGGCTGTTGGTGGTGGATGGAATGAGTGAAGGTTTAGTCTCGTGTAGCTCAGCCCTTCACAGCTTCTTTGTTCATGAGTAACTGCTGAATTCATTACTATTGATTCAGATAGAGGATTCTTCCCCTCTCCACAAAAGAGAGATTACCCAAATCACAGGTGCTGTTGGGGTGTCACTCAGTGGCAGCGTGCGTTCTTAGTGTGGGGTAAGGTCCTGGGTTCAGTGCCCAGCACTAAAAGCAAAAATATACAAAGGAGAGGGCCTTGAAATCTCTCCCATTTACAATGGATAGATTATCTGTCTGAACAATCTGCCTTTTTCAGAAAGCTGTTCAACAGGTTAATTTTATCCTCTGAGATGTAAGTAATATATTCTTACATTTTTCTTAACGTAAGTGGAGGAAAATGTTGGTTTAAGGTAGAGAATGAGGAAAGATGTATCTGTCACATTTGTTTTATCTTTTTTTTTTTTTTTTTTGAGACAAGACCTATGCAGCCCTGGTTGGCTGGCACTTACTATCTAGACCAGACTGGCTTTAAACTCACAGAGATTTTCCTGTCTGCTAAGTGCAGGGATTAAAGCTGTGAACCACCATGCCCAACCTATCTGTAATAATCTTATCAGAGATTTAATATCAAAACAAAACATTTTAAGAGTACCAAAGAGCTGGAATATTAAAGAGTCCTGTGTAGAACGGTGGTTATTAAAGTGACAAATGTGAACAGTATCCTTCAGTACTTGATAGTTACATGGAAGAGATAAACTATAGACAAACCGAAAAAAGAAAGTCTTAGGAAAAGTCAGTTCAGGTCTTCAAAGCAATTCAATGGGTGGAGGTCATAGCAGTGGGTAGGAGAGTTCTTCCCTAGCACGTGTGAGGCTGTGCACTGAGCAATGAATATCTGTGTAGCACATTATTATTGTTCTGTAATGATTGGAAAAATGCACATTTTGTCCCATTCTGCATAGCACAGTGAATTAGTACTATAAGCCTAAGATGCTTCTGGAACCTTTTTGTTGTTTCTTTTCTTTGCGGTGCTGGGAATGGCACCCAAGGCCTCACACATGGGAAGCACACACTGCCCCTCTGAGCTCCACCCCAAGCCCTTGGAATTTTGAGGAGCTCAGATATCTGGAGTGTTTTCTTGCTTTGACCATGAAGAAGCAGCTTTAGAAGATGTACCAGCCACACTCCCTTGATAGCTGCCAGCTGCCACTTCCAACTGCTGCAGCCTTGTTGTATAGAAAGTCATGGGCTTCATGGCAGTGGCAGGCTCTATACCTATATCGAGAGTGAAGTATTCTCTTCACACTAGCCTCATGAAAGGGGTGTGACAGAATCAAAAGTGTCCATTATATCCAAAGTCTTTAGTCTTTGAAAATCATGGTAACATATTTCCTGATAGTTTCTTTAATTAAATTATATGCAAGTTTATATGCAAAATTACATAGCAGTGACATGTACTTTGCTCATTAATTACAAATTCGAGGTGCCTTGAACATGAACACTAACATGTGCTTTTATTCCTTTTATTTCTTTTTCTTATTTAGAAGTCTCAGCACAAACAGAAATCTGTGACATTCAGCAAGACTGGAAGCCTTCCTTCCTCAGTAATGAAGAATTCACCCAGCTGATGTTAGAGGTGAAATGCACTTTCAAATTACTCAGTGGGGCTGGGGACAGAGCTGTATTGGGAAAGTTCTTGCATGACATACATAGGGCCCTGGATTCAGATCACCAGCATGATATAAAACCAGGCATGGTGACACATGCCCACTATCCATGCATTTGGGAGGTGGAGGCAGGAGGATTAGAAGTTCAAAGTCATACTCAGCTACAGAGCAAGTTGGGCCACTTAAGCAAGACCTCCCAAACTGGATGTGGTGATATGCTCTCTGTTGCATCAGTGAGCACAGGACAGGCACCAGTCTTTGTCTCCCTATTAGGAACATACCAGGAGTAGGTGGCCGAGGTCTGAGGAAAGAGAAGCAGAATGAAAAGTATGTGACATTTTGCATTTGTCATTGGACTCCTGGAGTCTCCTAGTTAAAATGCATTGATTGTAATTTTCCCCTTAATAAAAAAAAGCTCATTTAAAAAATAAGTCTTTTATCTATTTTTTTATTTTTTATTGAATTTTTGTGATTTTCATACAATATGGGTCTATCCACTGGAGCCTGGCTAACCTACCAAGAGCCCTGTGCCTGAAAGAGACTATCTCTGCCCCTCCCAGCAGCCATTAGTTGCCACAATTTCCTAGATTGGGTTGGGGTTTCTTAGCCACTTCCTGTCTTTGCTGGGATTTTGTCTGGTTTGAGCTTGCATGAGACTTGCACATGCTGTACCATTGCTGTGAATTCGTGGGAAACTGACCAGCCATCTAATAAACTGTTTCCTTGTAGTCATTCACCACCTTTGGCTCTTACAGTCTTTCTGCCTCCTTTTTCACAATGATTCTTGGGAGGCAGGAGTGTGATATAGGTATCCTATTCGGAGATAAGCAGTCTACAACGTCTTGTTCTCTGTAAATTGGCCAGTTATGGGTTTCTATATTAATTACCATCTACTGCATGAGGAAACTCCTCTGGTAAGAGTTAAGAGATGCATTACTCTATAAGTCTAACAATAAGTCATTAGGGGTCAGTTTAATACAATAACTATTTAGCAGAAAACTAGTATTAGGTTCTCCCCTATGCCCTGTGACCTGTCTAGCCTCAGATTCCCAAGCTTATAGTACATTAACATAATGTGGGTATCAGCCATGGTAAGCTGTACTTCCCATCCAGCCCAGGCCCTTCTTGTATAAGATGGCTATGCTCCTTCCTCTGGTTCAGTTGTCAGGTTTGCCTATAGGACTGTGTTTGTAAAAACCTAGCTGATGTGAGCGAATGGCTTCCATACAACATCCTCCTTGTATCTATTACATGAAAGTCCTCAGGGCAGACCAAGTCTTTGCAGAGCATTGGCAGGTGCTCTGACTTCCAACTTGAGTAGAAGTCTGAAGGCGCATGGACAAGACCATGAGGAGGAAGAAAGCACCAGGTATGGGTGTCCAACACTTGACTGGGGAGAACCTAGAACCGGGGCAGGAAAGTTACACAAAAGGAAGTTCTTCCTGGCCATGTGACCATGAGTAGCTCTTGGCTGAGGTTTCAGAGAGTGCCTTCTTAGGATAAATCTTTCCATAGCTCATCTGTGTGCCTATATAGGACTGATGTAAACTTCAATTTACATAGATTAACTATGCAGAAAACAGAAAGTACTGGAATAAGAAAATGCCAGAATAAAGATGTCCAAATATTATGAAACATAAATGCATTAATGAACATTTGCAAAAAAATGAAAGATACTTAACTCTACATGAGAACTATATTTAAAGAAAATACAGAACTTTCTGCAGAAGCAATGTATTTTAAGTATGTTAAATTTAAAACAGCTTGTGAAATGTAATGTTAATTTAATGCATCATTATGTTACTTTACAGACATTGATTTATCTTTTAATTCCTATGGAAAAGGAATTAAAACATATAACCCTGTGGGATCAGTCACTTTTTAAGAGCCCGTAGCACAACATTTTTGTTTTATCCAGTGAGTTTCAAAGTATCAAAAGAATTTCAGAGAAAAAAGCTTCCATGAAGTTAAAAATGGATAAACCTATGCCTGGAAGGAGAAACTAAGATTCAGGAGACCGGGATTTCTAGAAAAATATTTAGATTAATATGGATAATCTTAATGCACCTTATGCAACCGCTCCCAGCACAGAGTCCTTGAAGCAGACAGAACGAAAGACACTGAATAACTTTGATCTGAAATCAAGCCTGGCTATCCAACAGGTCTTGTCCATGAATTGTAGTTCCAAGCTGGATATCTACCAATTAGTATTTCTGATTTATCTCTGGCAATGTTGGGCTTCTCTTCCAACCTGTTTCTCTTCAGTTGAGACAGACCTGGTGTTGAGTGAACAGAATCTTCTGGTTTCTCCTCTCTGATGGTCCAAGCCCTTCAACATGAGCCCCTTCCCAAATGACTTATGGTTGTTTCTTTTTAAGATTTATTTTTGTTTTTATTATATGTATGTATGTGTTTGTGTGTGAATATGTACATGTGAATGCAGGTGCCTCTGGAAGCCAGAGGTATCAGATCCCTTGGAGATGGAATAACAGGCAGTTGTGAACTACCTGACCTGGGTGCTGGGAATGAAACTCAGGTCCTCTGTGCAGTCTTAATCTCTGAGCCATCTCTCATGGAAATTTATAGTAGATCTTGCTCCTAGTGTATATCCCATTTTAGCTACACATCCTTCTCTTTCAGAGAACTCAAAATGGGAGGAAATCTTTACCAGCTATACCTCTGATAGGAGGTTGATGTCTAGAATATATAAAGAACTACAAAAATTAAACACTAAAAATGGGCCAGTGAACTGAACCAACAGTTCTCAAAAGAAGACCCATAAATGGCCAATGAATATTTTAAAAGGTGTTTAATATCCTTAGCCATCAGGGAAGTACAAATTAAAACTATGATGAGATTCCATCTCACCCCACTCAGAATGGCTAACATCCAAAAACCAAATGAGGAACTGGAGAGATGATTCAGCAGTTAAGAACACTGGCTGCTCTTGTAGAGGACCCAGGTTTGGTTTCCAGTACCCACATGGCAGCTCACAACTGTCTAACTGTCAGATCCCCTGGAACTGGAGTTATAAACGGTTGTTAGCTGCCATATGGGTGCTGGGAATCAAACTTGGGTCCTCTGCAAGAGCAGTCAGTGCTCTTAACTGCTGAGCCATCTCTCCAACCCCCAAAATAGATTTTTTAAAGAAAGCAAATGACAATAAACGCTTGTGAGAAAGTGGGAAAGAGAAGCCTTTATGCACCACTGGTGGGAATATAAACTGGTGTGGCCACCATGAAAATCAGTGTGGAGGTTCCTCAAAAAATTGAAAGGAGAACTATCATATGACAGCTATCCTACTCCTGAGTAAATACCTAAAGGACTCAGCATATCACAGAGATACTTGCACACCCATGTTTGTTGCTGCTCTATTCACAATAGCTAAGAAATGGAATGAGCCTAGATGTCCATCACCAGATAAATGCCTAAAGAAAACATTGTACATATATATGCATAAACACAACAGAATTTTGTTCAGCCATAAAAGTTGAAATCATGACATTGCAAGAAAATGAATATTACTAGAGCTTATGCTAGACTCAGACAAAAGACAGCATATTTACTCTTACATGCATACCCTGTTTTACTTGTTTTTTTTAAAAAAAATAATTTATTGAGACTTTCATACAGGCATATAAGCATATAAGGTGTTTTGATCAAATCCATGCCCACTCCCTCTTCTCCAACTCCTCCCATACCTCCCCATCACTTTTTTCTGATAACTTCATGTACTCTTTCTTCTTCTTTTTTTTTAAATGGGGCTCTTTGCCACTCTAATATTCCTCTGTCTGAAGAAGTAACCCTAAAATCTTTAAAGGATTAGATAAAAGCTCCCAAATACTTTTGACATTTTTGGCCTTGGGGACAGAGTATGTTGCTAAGAGGCCCAATGACATTTTGACTTTTAGCCAAGAAACTGGATACTTTTCTTTGGGGTCTTTTTCCCCTAACTGCCTAGCCAATTCCTACCTCCTATTCTTATCACACCATCCTCTGAAGAGGTTACCCAACTTGTTGATAGAGAATTGGGACGCATGTTCCATGCTGAACAGGGACGCAGGGTGAGGCAATTGGGGTACCCCTTCAGCGGGTCTATCTAAAAGACTCCCAAATTGCATAACTCTTATCTGTAGGGGGAAAAGAAAGTCCTTGACTGGTAAATAGGAGATGTGAAGGAGAAGTAAAGGCAAGAATAATTAGCATTACAAATTCGATACAGGGAACTAGAAAAAAGTCTGAACAGGGAAAATTTCAAATGTTCATGAGAGTCCACTGGAATTTCTTGACAAGAGCTTTCAAAAGTATCCCTCTATTGGGTTCCTCCTCATTTTTCTTTTGTCTGCCAAGGCTGGACTCGAGAGTGATGGATTCAGGATTTACTTTCAGGTATTTTGATAGTTGTTGGAGTGGTTAGAATCAGTGTCAGTTCCTTCTCACAAGTGTCTAGATAGGGGGAGAAAACAAATTTAGCCATCATTTTAGAACAAAAGTGGGTTGTCTCCCTTAGCTACAGGTGGGCACTACAGTATTGGAGACCAAGATTTGAAGTCTTACATCTGAGTAGCACTTTCTGATTTAGAACAAAATCATCAATGAGAAATAATTGTCTAAATAACTTTTTATATGGACTTAAGACTAATGTCTGAGACATGTAATCCCTCGAACTCTTAAAAATATATACTGATGACTTTACTTTTTGGTTATACTTTCCTTTTAGGTGTTTAAGACCATACCGTTGGCCCAAATAAATCAATTTATTTTACACTTAAGGTCATTTGAGGATCTGTTCCTCAGGGGTCACATGGGCTTGGGAGGAGCCTCTGGCTCCTTTCTTTTACCAGTTCCATATATGTGAAGATAAGTTAAAGGTCCTACTCGACCATGGCTGGCTTCACTTGGAAACATGGAGGAAATGTTTCCCCTAAGTTGATCCTCCTCCTTGTAGACTGGACACTGGTTCAAGTCC